CTCCTACTTTCTCTTGTTGCCTAATATTGTTTTTCAAATTCTGGGTCTCTTATGGTTCCATGTACATTTTAGTATTATTTTTCCTTGTTCTGTGAAGAATTCTCTTGGTAATTTGATTGGGATTTTGTTAAATCTATATCAGCTTTGTAAATATGGCCTTTTTGACAATAGTGATTCTGCCCATCCAGGAATAGGGGATATTTTTCCATTTTCTGATATTCTCTTCCATATCCTTTTTCAGAGCTCAATAGTCTTCCTTAGAGTTCTTTCACTTCCTTTGTAAGAGTAATTCCTAACTATTTAATTTTTCTTGAAGCTATTATGAATGGTATTACTTTAGTAATTTCATTTTTTGGGGGGTGGTACTGGGGATCGAACTCGACCTTGCTTGCGAGGGAGGCGCCGGAACCACTGCGCTAAATCCCCAGCCCACTGAGCTAAATACCCAGCCCACTAATTTCATTCTTAATACAAACCCATCTTAAGTGAATTTTTGCAACTCTGTGTCCTCTTAGCTTTGTCTTTGGGGCTTTTCTTGCACCTCAGGGAAGTTACGTGGTTCATGTTGTCAGTAGAGCCAAGATGATGCCATATCTAGGTCTTTCACTGTAACTTCATGTTGTGTGGGTTTCTTTGTACAGCAGGGTCACTAAGAGCTATTTCCTTTATCAGTAACTAGATCTTAAAAGCCATGCCTTTTTCGATAACATTTGCCTTGGGCTAATTGGGAGAGGGAAAGTTAACAGAAGAGGAGAAAACATAGACACACAGAGGAGAAAATGATGTGAAGACAGAGGTTGGAGTGATGTGATCCAGAAACACGTGGATACAGCAGAAACAGAAGGAGACAAGCAGGGATCCTTTCCTTGAGCCTTCAGAGCATACACAGCCCTGCTGACATCTTGATTTTGGACTTCTAGTCTTCAGAACTAAAATAGATAAAATTTTTGTGGTTTTAGTCACAAAGTTTATGATAATTTGCTATGGCAGCTTTAGTAAATAAATATAGATTTTGTATTAGTTTACAATTTCATATTAATTTGCTAGGGGTACCATAAGAAATCACCACCAGCTTGGTGGTTTTGAACAACAGAAATTTATTGTTGCATAGTTCTGGAGACCAGAACTTGGTTGTTTGTTCATTTGTTTTGTTTTTTTGGTACAGGAGGATTGAACTCAGGACCTTGATTTTGTGCTTATGAGGCAGGTGTGGTGCCACTGAGCTAAATCCACTGCCCCTGGAGACCTGAAATCCAGGTGTGAGCAGGGCCATGCTCCCTGGAGGCTTGAGAGGAGAATCTGTTCCTTGCCTCTTCCAGCTTCTGGTGGCCATCAGCATTCCTGGGCCTCCTGGGCTTTTGGCCACATTAATCTCTGCCTATCATGTGCCCTTTCTCTGCTGTCTTCTTTAGTGTATGTCAACCCTAGTATGTACACAGTGCTGCCCCTTTCATGATGAAACTAGTCTAAATTAACTTGTGGCCAGGTCACTGGCTGTATTACTCTGGGAAATGGTGCCAAACTAGGGGCTTAGTGTTGGTCTCTTCTGCTGGCAGATAGAACCCTCAGGAGTGGCCATAGCCAGCTCAGCCTGGGTGAGTGGAAGTCCATGTTGCTGAGCTCATGCCTCGCCTCCCTTTGTGCTGCCATGGCCACTTTGCTCATGAGCTGATTGGACAATGACAAGGGAGCCTGGGGAAGGAGGCCGAGTGGTGGTATCCCCAGTTGATATCCTTTTTTTGTTTGTTTGGTACCGGGGATCGAACTTAGGACCTTGCACTTGCGAGGCAGGCGGTGGGACCACTGAGCTAAATCCCCAGCCCCCCAGTTGGTATCCTATCAACTTGATTATTAAAATCCCCTTCTGCTGAGGTTAACTTTTGTTGAGTGTTCACATGGGACAAGGAATAGCTTCATGATTTTTCTGTGTCTTACCTTAGAAACCCCATTGCATACTCTCCTGTCTCTCCTCCAGTCTTATCCCCCCACAGCTGGATTTATAGATGGTGTCCAGCACTACCTCATTTTTTTTAGTATTGATGGTTAGTGAGAAGGTCTCATCTAGATATAATTTCCAGATACCTAGAATGTAATCTTTAAATTTTAAAAAATTCTAATTTTAAAATAATTAAGCTTTTATTAGTACATGTTTATAGTACATAATGATTACATTCATTGTGGGGAGTTGGTACATATACATAACATCTTAATTCTTTTTATTTCTTTTTCCCTCCCTTCCCCCTCCTAATATATTTTTAATCCTACAATTAACATATTTCAGTTTGAAATTTTATACAAGTGTGACTACTCACCTTAACTTTCTTAAACAGTAGACATTACCTTTCCAAAACAAGAAATAGCTGAAATTTAGTGACATAAAAATTTATAATCTCTCTTACTTAACAAGTCAACTGTACATATTTATTTCTGTATTTTAACAAGCCCTTGCTCAAAGTGTATATAATTTTCTATTGTTGTAAGAGCATACAAATAATTTTTTCTACATTTTTTAGTTTTAAAGCATTGTCTCTGTTTCTTTCCTACCACTTAAGAAAATGTAGATTGTTACAGCATACAAACCTGAAATGTAGTCAATTTTTATTGCCTTAAGAGCAATTTGAAGTCATTTCTCACTCGCAAATTAGTGACACATGGAAGTTCCTGGTAGGCAGAGACTTCATTTTTAGTAACCACCACTGAAGAAAATATCTTTCTGTTTATGCTCCCCCCCAGGATTATTTCTGTAAGAATAATTCTGAAAAATGGAGAATATAGAAAATTTTGAACAAAAGAATATTTTTAGATTCTTAACTCTCCAGACGTTACTTGAGGGCAGTGGCTAAATTATATTTAATGCTATGTTGGCAGGGCTTTCTGTATTGCCTATTTCATAGTAGGTAGTCTATACAATTAATTGAATGACTACATAAATTTTAATGAGTATATGGAAAATAATTTGTTATGGCTGTGAATAATGAGTGTAACTATTGTCCTTTGTCTTTCTTGGCACCACTGCCTATCAAATTATTAAAGATAGAAAGCTGGAGTTATTCTTGACTCTTTTCCTTATTGCTCCTGTATTAGCCACTAATTGCTGGCTTAAAACAGCAACATGTATTTATTATCCCTCACAGTTTCTCTGAGAGGAGATGAGTTATTTTGTCTTGGGGACTCTCATGGGGTCACGTCACATGTTGGTAGGGGTTTTATCATGTGAACAATTGATGGGGCTGGAATATCATTGGAAAAGGGCTCACTGATGGTAGGTAGCCTCGGATCCTTTTCTTAGAGGTCTCTACACAGGGCTGCTTGAGGTCTTCGTGGTGTGGCAGTTCTCCTCTGGCTCCTCCCAGAATGAGCAGTCCAACAGAGCAGTCCAGCAGTCCATTTTGGAGGCTGAGTAACATAGCTTCTCTCTTCCATATTTTATTTCACTTCCATGTTCATTAATAGATATAAATACAAAGATACAGATACAGATATATCTGTGGGGCAGTATTGGTGCGAGGGGACTGCTGTTGGGCTTGAGGATAGAGCTTGCTGTGGCTTAGGCTACATCAGTCTTTCTCAAGTGACTTGTCTGGGAAGAGAGAAGGAGTCTTACTGAAAGGCAGGTTCTTCAGTAAATCTTGAGGTGCTGCATTTCTACCACATGTGCTGATGATGCCCACCCTGCAGGACCTATGAGTCACAGGGGGCCTGGATGCCAACTTGGGAGAACACGGGAATCACCTGTGAAGCTTTAAAAACTGTGCATATCTGGATCTTACCTGGATATTGCAATTTAATTAGTCTAGAATGCAGTCTGATTATCGGGCATAAAAAAGCTTCACAAGTGACCCTAATTTGTAGAAAGCATTGAGGAACCACCGTATTGGATGACTAAAAACTTGTTTTAAAACAAAATGAAGCAAGTAATGCTCTTCAAGGCTGTGTTGCTGACTTATTAAGAGGCCAGTTTTGTAGCTATAGAAAGAGTCTGGCCATACCCACGAACAAACCTCCAGAGTTCTGCTTTGCATGACTGGATAATGTCTCCAGTGTCCTCATCACATGCTGTCACATAATGGTAGAAAGAGAATTCCTACCTGTCTTAGTTACTTTTCTCATTGCTGAGACAAAATACTCGACACTCACAAGTTAAGGGAGGAAAGGTTTATTTGGCTTATGGTTTGTAGAGGTTTCAGTCCATAGGTGGCTGGCTCTAAGGCAGAGTGGCACATGTCAGAAGGGCATCACAGAGGAGAAACAGTTCATGGTGCCCAGAAGGAAGCAAGGGAAGCAAATCCTAGTGTCCTTGAGCCTAGCATTGCACCATGAATCAATTCCAGCATCACACACTCTAGATCCAGCCACCTCTGAAAAAGCCCCACCTATGACCGCATGAGTCTTGGAGGGGGGACATCTAGACACAAGGCATCACACTACCTAAAGGCACAATTAGAATATGAAGAGGATGCAGTCAGCCAGGCCCCTTGACGTGTGAGCTTGCTCCTAGGCCCAAGAAGCTGGAGAAGCAGAGTAGTACTACTTTTCTTTTTCCTTGAAATTTCTAGCATGTTCACACGCATAGTTTCTGAGTGAGGCCCAAACTAAAAACTTGTGTGGTTCAAGCAAACCCCATGGTCATCAAAAGCAGGAGTTTCAGATTACTGGAGATCAATGAGCCATGTCCTACTCTGAGGCTAATAATCGACTACTAGATATGAATGCCTCAAATGGTCTTGGAGACACTGGACAGGGCAGACAAGCTCCTTCTCTCCTTCTCTTTCTCTTTTTGGTACCAGGGATTGAACTCAGGACCTTGTGCGTACAAGGCAGGTGGCGGAACCACTGAGCTAAATCCCTGGGTCTCTCCCTCCTCTCTTAACTAAAGTCCACTCAGTTCCTTTGGCCAAGTGATTGATTGTATACCGACAGAACCTGGGACACTTTCCTGTTGTTATGCCTTCAATTCCATGTTACTTGGATTGATTTTTGTTTGTTTCTGGATGGCTTAGATTGGACGACTCATTATTGGACAGAACGGCATCTTGTCTACACCTGCAGTTTCGTGCATTATTAGGAAGATCAAGGCAGCTGGTGGAATCATTTTAACAGCTAGCCACTGTCCTGGAGGACCGGGTGGAGAGTTTGGAGTGAAGTTTAATGTTGCCAATGGAGGTATGTGGTTCAGAAAATGCCTCAATTGTGATTTCTTTCCTGCTATATTATCACAGTTTTATAGTGACCCTCTTATGGTAGACAAGCCAGGCAGCAGGGAAGAAATTGCCTCAGAAAAATCCAGAAAATTGTCCAAGGTGAGAAGATAAGAAAGTAGCATAACAGGCTCTCAGACCTATTTGGTTGGTCCCTTGGTCTCCTGAGCTCCTCTGAGAAATGATTGAATAGTTAGTTAATGCTTATCTGATAGGTGAGGACTTGAGGTTTTAAGTTTGGGACACACCTAGAAGGTCATTTAGGTCATTTCTCTCATTTTACAAATAAACAAATCAAAGCCTTAAAAGGCTGAGTTGCTGCAGAAGGTCACATGGTGGCTCAAAGAAAGACATGACTTTTAGCCCAAGCCCTGGCCTTGCTTTCTTACAATGTTGGCTTTTTTTCACTGAAATACACAGAATTACTTCATATTTATACAGATTTATACTAGTAGGGCTGGGATATACGTATGAGGGTGAATCTCTTTAAAAAATCAAATGTAACACAAAACAGGGAGAAAAATTAGTGGATACCATGTATCCATTACCTCTTTTCCAGTTTGCTAATCTTTTTTTCTGAAGAAGTTTAAGGAAAAATTCAGCATGCAGACATTTCATAGCTAAACATTTGTGTATATATATATATCTCTGAAAAAGAAAGACATGTCCCTGCATAACTTTAGTAACATGTCTAACAAAAATAACATTGATTCTTTAATCTCATCTGAAATCTAATCTGTAGTCAGATTTTTCTTTTGATCTTTAAACTTTTGTTTACATCTGTTTTATTCAAGTAAGGATATATCTCCAATTCATATATTTGTTTGCCAATACTCTTAAAACTTTTAAACAGCAATGCCGACTTTGAGTGTTCATGTTGGTATGAGCCGAGTTTTAAGCAACAACAGTTATCATTATGAATTATTCCTGGTCCCAGGTGAAACATATTCTGAAAAAGAGTTTATTATCTCCCCCTCCTTGCAGCTAATTTGCATATTATTCAACCAGTAAACGTTATTCATGTTGAATGTTAAACATACTCCATAAGCACAAGGCAAAACACTACAACCAATACACATGTACCTGAGGCTGCATACTATAGAAAGAAAAGAGGTTTATGTAGCTCACAGTTTGGGAGGCTAAAAGTCCAAGTTCAGTGGCTTCATCTCTTCAGCCTCTTGTGAAGGCCTTCTGGCTCCATCACAAGATGGTGGATGGCATCATGGTGGAAGTGCATACAAGAGAGAACCATCAGTCCCATTGTGAGACAGGAAGCCAGAGGGATTTATAATAACTTACTGCCTCAGGAAATAACCAGGGGCCCACAAGAACTACACTAATCCTTCTAGGGGTGGTACCTTCAACAGCCTTGCCATCTTCCACTAGGTTAAAGGATATACCACATCAGCTCCACCACACTGGGCCTCAAGCTTCTAGCACATGAACCTTTGGGGGACTCATTCAAACTATATCCCAATCAAAGCAATTTATATATACATTTTGTAGACAAAATAGCAGGTAGTTATGAAATCTAGTCAAATCTTCAATGTGAGGTGAGGGTTGAACTTATCACTCAGCCTTTACCTATGTCGAAGATCCTTTAACATTTAATTGTTTATATCTGCATATCTTAGAGCTATTGATGAAATTAACATTCCTCATGACAGAGAGATTTTAGTTTTTTTTCTACTCAGTGCAGAATAAGTTCTTCTAACATCTTTCTTCTGAAGTTGCAGGCATTCATCTCTTGTGATTGTGTGTTATAAAAATATATCTTAGGGATGAAAGACTAAGTGCCCTTGTAGGCAAAGGGACATAGGACACATTTGGAGTTGTGTGGCTTTTAAAATATGCTTAGAGGACGGGCACATTTGGAACATATTTTTAAGTAGAAAGAAAGATGACAGTGTTGAGGAGAAGTAGAAACAATGGAAATGCTAATGTTTTAAATACTTACAATTGGTTGGTAACCATGCTCAGCACTTTTCATACATTATCCCATTTAATGTTCATAACAAACTGATGAAGTAAATGAGGAGTCACAAGATTAAAAGAGCTCGATCAGTATCACATAGTTAGTACCTTGTGGAGAGAATTTACAGCCTAGATCCCCGAAAGGGGGGCAGAACTTTTACAAAAGAATGCAAAGATGAGTACAAATGTAACTTTGAGGGATGCAGAACAGAAGTTTTGGCAAATAGTTGCCTACAGCTATTCAAAAAGTATTAAGAAGTGTCCCTTGCTAAAACAATGGGACGAGACTAGAGAAGGAACTTGGAGTAAATGGAGATATTTTGCAAAAGGTACTCTGGGGGGGGGGCAAATCACTCCTTAATTGTCAACTTGACTTTTTAAGGAAATGCATCAAATATTTTTAGTCAATCCCGATGTTAAAAACTTAGGAGTGCAATGATGGTGAACCTTTCAGAGCTTTCAATGATAACAAGCAGCTGGCTGCGGCTCACATGCCATAGGTTCACCACCTATGGTGATTAGAGAGTGAATTGGGGAAAGTAATCAGTTTACCTGGTACACTCATATATCAACTAGGCAGCCGATCTGGGAGTAGAAATTATATTTTCTTTTTTTTTTTAGGTACACTTGGGAAACTGTGGTTTAAATCTGGAATCCCTCACTTCTGTCAAGTGAATATCCTGTTTGTGTCTCATATCCTGAATAAAGCTGATTACATAACCAGGTCTCCCTAACAGGTGTGAAACTATTTTTAGGAGAGATGTATCATTGCTTAGAAGTGGATTAAAACAAACAAAACACGTAGGTTCTTGGCCTACATAGAACAGGTGAGGGTGACCCAGTTTCCTCCCCAGTAGATGAAAACAGTGTAAGAAACACTCAGGCTAATTAAACTGTGAATCTTTCACTGTTTAGAGAATGAATGAAGGATGGTAACGTTTCTCTGATTGAAATTCCTGAGACTTTAAAAAACTGCATTTTGGGTGTTTGTATTTTAGGTCCAGCCCCAGATGTTGTCTCAGACAAAATATATCAGATCAGCAAAACTATTGAGGAATACACCATTTGTCCTGATCTTCGAATTGACCTGTCTCGACTAGGAAGACAAGAATTTGACCTGGAGAACAAATTCAAACCATTCAGAGGTAATAGAGAGATCAGATATATTTTGAAGAAGTCAGAACAACTCCATGGATGGGGTACCTTCCAAGGGGCCTGTACGGTGGAGTCCAAGTGTGCATGAGTGGAGTGGGCTCTTTGGCTTGATAATGACCAGTGGTATCCACAAGGAAGTGCACTCATAAAAATTACTGAGTTATCACTCTGAAGGGTGACTTTAAAAAATAGGTGGAATCTGTATTTGATACAGAAAGAAATGGGAGCAACCAAATATCTGGATACTTTCAAAAAATCACTTTCCAAACTCCCGGTCATTTTCACCATAGGAAAAATTTTATGGTTGATTTCATTATAATATTCCTGGAATAGACTGTGAGTTTCAAAAATTCGTCTTTGATTTCCTAAGCCATTAGAGTGAAGATGCTGAAATGCGGCCGGGGATTTAGCTCAGTGGTTCTGCCACCTGCCTTGAAAGCACAAGGACCTGAGTTCGATCTCTGGTACCAAAAGAAAAGATGCTGAAATGCCTTAGTTAAGAGCTCTAACAAGTCAATGGGGTTATTAAAATTCCAACAGGAGGTAGATTTTTTTTTATAAGGCAGAGCCATGTGATTCAGCTTAATTTAACACACAATTATTGATCACCATCTTTGTATCAAGCATTATATTAGGAGATTTTACAAAGGAATTCAGTAACTGCCAAATGTATTTAAACAAGTGGTTCAAGAACTAAAGAACCAGAATGAAATTGTTTTAGTGCCCCTACAATTTTGAATACAGTTTGTGTTAAAATGATATCTTTATTGTGCAAGTAATTTAACTTGGCTGCAAAGATAAAATACTTGGTTCATGGCCACATGATAGTTTAGTGACAAAAACACTTAAACTGTGCTGTGCACGGATCACAGTGTTGGGCCAATGTTACCAAATCTTTCTTGAAAAATCTTAAGCCAGTTGTTCACTCAGATCGTGAGCAGAATTTATTGAAAGCCACAGATCCTCCCTGGAGGAACCAGTGCCTGCTTTATTAACCTAGTTGGGAGCGTGCCCATGCACACATGTGCACACACATGGAGGGCTAGACAGTGGGAGACGGGACATGTTATATTAAACAGAATGGTTCACATATGATCGACTACATGTGTTGGGAGGACTAGGCTGTAAGAGGGCTGAGAAACACCAGGCGTCACAATCAGGAAAAAGGTTTCTTTCCTTTTTCTGTTTGGTGTCTTCACGTTATTTATAGGTGTCCAAGAGACCCACATCTTGGTGCTTAGATTCAGGCTTAGATTACTGCAGCCACTTTGGTAGTTGGGTTACTTCCTCAAATGTTGCTGATAACCAGGAGGTGGGTGGAGGGATTCCTTGGCTCCCAAGGAGATAATTATTTAGGTAATTTATATACTGTATTCTTGCTGTTTCAGTTGTTGAGCAAGGCTTGAGCTAATTGGAAACGAATCAGTCCTTGGCATTTCACCTTAAAATGTCAAGAGCATGAACTATTTGATGTAAACTTTCAATTTATGTGGACTTCTGGCTTCCTTGTTTTTCACATTTCTGCTTGGTACTGTGCGCTGTTATAAATACCAAATGTTTTTTGGCAAGTAGTACAATAATTGAAGAATCTGGATGAGATTACCAAAACTATTATCCTAGATTATTGAGTAAAACTTCTAAAGTACTTGGGGCATGATGTTTTATTTATTATTATCATCTTTTGTTGTTGTTGCAGTACTGGGGATTGAACCGAGGCCCTTTGCTGCATCTTAACCTCTGTTTTATTTTGAGACAGAGTCTCACTAAGTCACTCAGGCTAGGCTCAAACTCAAAATCCTCTTGTCTCAGCCTCCCATAGTACTGAGATTACAGGTGTGTGCTACCTACCATGCCTGGTATAATGTTTTATAGATTCATTTTTACTATGGTTAAATATATATAACATAAATTCTTATAGTATAAAATGAAGCATTTTAACCATATTGGTGTACAGTTCATGTGGATTAATTTTTAATTATTTTTTGGATTAATATCCCTCTCATTTCACAAGATAACTAAAAATAGTCCGTGTTCCATAAAAAATGATAACATTAAATTAGAATGGGTGAATTTTCATTCCATTGGAATATAATAATTTAAATGTAAAGAAAAGTATTTTAGAATGTGTATTTCACAAGATGAAGGAATAATTTTATATTATGTGTTAAAATCTCATCCACTAAATGTTACATCTGGATGTACTGAAAATTATTGAAGGTGAATTGATTGGTAACATCTTCAGGGTTTGTTTAAGCATTTCATGGCTCCAAAGTAGTATGTATTTAAAAACTTTGAAAAACAATATATATATATATATATATATATATATATATATATATATATATAAATTTTAAAATTTAAATAAAAGCAAGGCTTTTAAAATTTAATTGAAAGCAAGACAAAATTTTAGTTTCTAAAAAGTTGAATATTTACTACTAGGAAAATTACTTTCTGAGCCTTATGTACCGATTAACACGTTTGAAAAATGTGATGTGTTCTGTCAAATAAATAAAAAATACTTAGTTTGAATTCTTGGTAATTAAGTGGTGTCAGACACTGGAGAACATTTTTTGGGAGGGGGGGTATCGGGGATCGAACTCGGGTCCTTGCGCTTGTGCAGCAGGCAGCGAAACCACTGGGCTAAATCCCTGGCCCTTGGAGAACATTTTTGTTTAATGAGGATTTTCAGATATTTGCCATAGTCCTGGAAATTGGATACTAAGCGGGTACAAAATAGATTTCATGCAAATTCAGAAATACTGTATAGCTTTTGTCACTAATTATGCACTTGGACCTGGTGGGCACAATGGCCTTTGGAAAATAGGGGTCACTACAGAGGTCACTTCTTTCTTTGTTTCATACCAGCTGAGTTGTTCTTTGGCAGAGCCCCACAGGAAAGGCATCTGAGTATGCCAGGATGCCTGCCTGCATTGCTCTGGGTGCCTTTTTGGGGAGAGAGGTGGTGGAAAGAAGTGGGGTACAGGCATGACATAGCACATTTTAATCTTATTTTTATGGTTAATTTTTTACTTAAAAGAATTCTAACTTGAGATTACTTTTACCCATTGATCAAAAATTTTGTAGTATCTTGGTTGTGGTTCATTTGTGATTTTTGTTTATAAATGGATGCCTTACTTCCCAGGAAATGTGTGGGGTTATGATGGACTTGTGCTCGGAATTTCATGCCATTAGGATAGTGATTCTTTTTGCACTTTTCTAAGTCTTTCCCCGGCTATGGTCATTGACATCCCCCTTTGTTTTCCTGTTGTCAGTGGAGATTGTGGACCCTGTGGATATCTATCTCAATCTCCTTCGGACCATCTTTGACTTTAATGCCATCAAGGGTTTGCTGACTGGGCCCAGCCAGCTGAAGATCCGCATTGACGCGATGCATGGAGGTGAGCTCATGGTTTGCCACAAATTGCTGGGAAAGAAATGTCAAGGAGACCTCTCCACATGTTGGGTTTCTGAGACTATGAAGAAGGATAGATTTCATAGATGCACAATTTGTATATGTTCAGATATTTGTAATGATCTGGGAAACTACAGGACTCCAGTTTCTTTCTTTTGGTATAAATAGAAATAAAAATTGGACAAATGAATTTGAGGCTATGCTTGTGGGAGTGTGGATTAAAACTGTGTTTTTTTTTTATTACAATCTGTGCCATAATTTACAGTCTAGTAATTCAAAATAATATGAAAACATATGCTCCCCACCTCCTTTCTTTTTCCAATTTCCCATTTTCTAGAGTCAACCTTTTCCAAATTTAAAAAAAACTGTTTATTTTAGTTTGTATCTCCCTATCACTAAATACCACAAATCTGCATCTCCTTATTGATATTCTAGTTTCAAGCATCCTTGAATTCATACTATGAAAAGTTTCCTTTGTAGACCTTTATCGTCAAACCCCTCCCCTTTTGCCCAGCCCTGGCAACTATTTATTTGCTTTCCACTTCCATAGTTTTGCCTTTTCCAGAAAACCATATAAATGGGGGCATAAAATTTGTCGTTTTTCATTTGTTTTCTTTTCTCAGCATGTTTTTGAGATGCATTCATGCTGTTGCATGTATCAGTAGTTGTTCCTGCTGCATAGTATTCCATTGTGTTGATGTACCACAGTTTTTCCATTTGCTAATTGATGGAAATTACATCCCCCAGTTTGTGGTTATTACAAATAAAGCTGCTATGAATATTCATGAACAAGTCTTTATGGGAGCATAAGGTTCCATTTGTCTTAGCTAATTACCTAAGAGTGGTATTGCTGAGTCACATGACAAGTATAGGTCTAACTATATAAGAAACTGTCAAGTTGTTTTTCCAAAGTAGCTGTGTCATTTATGCCACCCATAGTGTATAAGGTCTTAGTTTCTCAGTGTCTTGGCCAACATCTGATGTGTTAGTCAGCTTTTCATTGCTGTAACAAAGTATCCAAGAAAGTCAATTTAAAGGAAGAAAGGTTTATTTTGACTGATGATTGCAGTCCATGATCAGCTGGCTCCATTGCTTTAGGCCTGTGGTCAGGCAGAAATCTCATAGCAGAAAAGCATAGTGGAGGGAAGCTGCTCATTTCATGGAACAGAAAAGGGAAAAGAGCCTGCTCTAGTAGGCTTGTTTTTGTTCCCTCTAGGCATCCGCCCTATTGAATGGTGCCACCCACATTCAGGGGAAATCCTCCATCAGTTTTTTGTCCCATGGGCCAATCATCTCTGGAGTCACTCTCACAGATACACCTGGAAGTGTGCTTTACTGACTTCCTAGGTGTTGGCAGGATTAACTGTCATCCCTGGTATTGTCAGGCTTTTCAATTTCAGGCATTCTTCTCTATCTTCTTAGTGTCTGTTAAGGTATTACTGATACAATATTTTAAAGCTTTTGCCTCCCTGTGTAAGTTCCTTTTCCTCTAGGCTTCTTTTTGCTTGGTTCAGTGTCATGTTAAGTCCATTCTTCAAAATTTGAGTGATCCTTGAATATGTGGCATGTTGAAGATTGAGGCACTAAAAAATCTCTAGGGAGCTCTGAGCCCATGGGTCTTATTTTCCATGAGCTTTCTTCTAAGGATTTTGGATTGAATAGTAGTGTTCTCTCCTGTTGGGCTCATCATATTCTCCAGGAAAAGACCTTTTAGGTTCTTGCCTTAGTAGTATCTGGCTTAGAGAAAAGACAGCTACTCTTTCCAGATAGTTTGAATAATATTCAAACTATCTGGAATATTCTGGAATAATATTCAAACTATGCCTCATTGCCTGGCATGTATTATACATCCATCTCTGAATCAGTCATTCTGGTTGGAGAATATAGGTCATGGATTGGGCAGACATAGGTCAACTAATCAGCCTTGGAGGCAGTGGAATTTAGCCACAGGCAGATCATTTGAATTCACATGGAAAAGGAAGTGATTTTCCAAAATAAACCTCAAATATTGCTACTAGAGGAAGAGAAATGGGTGCTAGACAGGCAAAATCAAGAGGTGTTTACTATTTGAGAACTGTGCTATATTGGTGGAAAATAAATGAAGGCATTACTTTACATATACTTCAGCTAACAGGATTATATGGTGGTCTCTAAATGTGTCCTATGATCCAGTTTAGGCGCTTGCTCCTAATGTTCCTTCCGTTTGGATGGCCTCCTCACTCCCCACCCCGTCCAAGATTTATGTTCTTCTTCCTTCATGTATCCTCAGATATGCTCCTTCCTCCTGGAAGTCTTACCTGTGGCCATTGTTTCTCCTAAGCCACGGATGAAATTATTCCATAAGTGTGCATTAGATGGCACCTCTCTTTTATTCTTTTGTTTTGTTTTTTTTGAGACAGGGTCTCACTGTGCAGTTTAGGCTGTCCTTGAACTCACTATGATAAATTTTTTTTTTTTTGGGTACCGGGGATTGAACTCAGGGCCTTGCACTCACTATGTAGCCCAAGCTGGCCTCAAACTCACAGTGATCCTCCTGCCTCAGCCTCCCAAGTGCTGGGATTACAGGCATGCACCACCATGCCTAGCTTTTATTGTTTGTTTGTTTGTTTGTTGAGACAGGGCCTCACTATGTAGCCCAGGCTGGCCTCGAACTCTTGGTGATCCTCCTGCTTCAGCTGACACCTCTCTTTTAGTCTTACTGCTTCCATCACTCATCTGTAGATTAGGCCCAACCCACTACTAGATTAAGGGTCCCAGAACTTAGAAACTACATGCATATATGATCCCTTCAAGGCACTTCACTCTATGCAGTTATGAAGTAAGGCTCTTTAGCACTTAATTTGCAAAATGTGCTTAGTTTACAGTATATGATGCTTTAGTGGTTTTTAGTGTTTAATTATACACTGATTACACAAAGCACATTGCTAGAAACATTGAGCGTGTTTGTATATGCTCAGCTAAAGCATTTAATGCTTTTAAAGCAACAGATAATGAATCATTGTAATATGGTTGATTTCTTTCTGGAAACATTTTAGAAAACTTTGGGGAGAAAAATTTCATCTAACTGGATTCTTGAATATATCTTCTATATGTGAACCCAGTCAAGGGACTGTAGTAGATGATCAATAAGTAATAGTTGAAATGAAATTATGTTGTATCTTGAAAAAGCCTGTAGAACTGATTTTTTTCCTTCTGGGCTATTAAATGGTTTCTTGTTCTAACCAGAACAAAATATCCACAGGAGAGGATTCTGCAAATATTTCACATCCTTGTGTATCTTTTTCTTAGTTATGGGACCTTATGTAAGAAAAGTTCTGTGTGATGAGCTGGGGGCTCCAGCCAATTCTGCAATAAACTGTGTTCCCCTGGAGGACTTTGGAGGGCAGCACCCTGACCCAAATCTGACATATGCAACAACCCTTCTGGAAGCCATGAAAGGAGGAGAGTATGGATTTGGAGCTGCATTTGATGCTGATGGAGTAAGTAGGAAAGTTTTCTGCCTGCTGACCTTTCTACTGTATAATGAGCCAAGCACTGAAAGTCATAGGGTTAATGACCACATCTGCAGCCCAATTGGCTGGGGCCTGGGGCCCTAACTGGCCCTGCAGCAGTTCTCTTGTTAAATGGCTAAATATTGCAATTCAATAGCCATTACTGTTCTTAGTTTCAGATTAACATATGTTATAAAGAATTTCTTTTAGAAAACATATTCATGCAATAAATCTTTATTTACAGCTGGTTTTGTTGAAAGCGTATTAAGGAACCAGCTATTTCAGCAGTAACTGCTGTTCTCTATTCAGTTTGAAGGGAAGAAGGAATTAAGTCCGTGAAGGCTCCTGAAGTGTGGAGTAGTCATCCACTCTTCAACAGGTGGAACACATTCCTAGTTGTGTCAAACTTCTGGATGCTTCGCTTTCAGGGATTTATAATGTTTCCCATGCTCTCTTTGGCCTCATTCAAATAGTTTCAGGTTGTTTAAATATAAGACTGCAGTGCAGTGGCTTGCGATGGTTATGGGAATGAGCTGCTGGCAACAGATGCTTCTGCCTGATAATTTTCACACATTCCTTCCCACAGGACCGTTATATGATTCTTGGCCAAAATGGCTTCTTTGTGAGTCCTTCCGACTCCCTGGCCATCATTGCCGCCAACCTCTCTTGCATTCCGTATTTCCGTCAGATGGGGGTTCGAGGATTTGGGAGAAGTATGCCAACCAGCACAGCCCTAGACAGGTAAGCAAGAACTCTAGGATGAAATACGGTGAAATACAGCATCCCCTTGGTTGGTGGCTGGCATTGATTTTCTTCTAATCTACTGGGAACTTGGAGACACGATATGATGTGCTGGGTAGAGGCTTGGAGAGTCAGGAGGCCTGAGCTTCATTCTTATTTCTTATTTGATCTGTGTGACTTTGTTTTTTTATCTGTAAAATGGGGATAATAACACTATCATCCTTACATGGCTGTTGTGGGGTATGAATAAGGTGACTTGTATAACACATCTAGCAGTGTACCTGGTATGTAACAAGCTTTTCATAAATGCTTAGCAATAGAACTTACTAAGTCTGAAACTATAGGGCTGAGGATTTAGCTCAGTGGTTTCTCTGCCTGCTGCATAAGCGCAAGGACCAGAGTTCGATCCCCGGTACCAAAATAAACAAAACAAAATCTGAAACTATATAGGTGAAGTAGAGAGAGCATGGAGTTGGAGGCCAGATTATATTACTTTATGTACAAAAGTTAATGTACACCATCATTAACTGTGTCAAAACAGGGAGGATCCTTTACAGGTTTGTTGGGAGAATGAAATGAGATAATGCATGGCAAGTCCCTAGTAGTAGATTTGCATTGCAGGGCCTCAAACAGTGTTAGATTTCTCTCTCCTTGTCCTACCTCTGCCTACTGTCTTATCTTATGAAGCAGTGAACTTCAGAGTCTAATATTCTTGAGTAGCATATAATGGTATGAAAGCAGGACATGTGCACGGTGGAAAGTTAGAAAACACAAACAAAATGTAAACATCATACCGTTCCCTGAGTTACCATGTTAATAGATACATTTATGTTCCTCACTAGATCTCTTTCTATAAATATAAATGTATAAATATCACATGTAACTTAAAAAACATAAAATTCAAATCATATCTGTAAGATAATGTACACAATAAACATATAGTATTTATAGTACCAAAAAGGAATTAGAAAATACATACTGTATGTAACCTGCTTTTTCTTAACCATCCACAATCTCCAACTTTTTCCTAATAAATTTTTGTGTCATCCGTAACCAAACTGATACTCACATTTCCTGGGTATCCCCAGAATGTCTTTTGTGATTGTTTTGACAAAAGTAAGATCCCATCCAAGGCCATATGTTGCATCTGGTTGTGTCTCTTCAGTCATTTCTTCATCTAGCACAACCCTTTCTCTTTCATTTAATGGCGGTGATTTTTTTTTTGTACTACGGGGATAAAACTTGGGAACTTGGGGCTTGCAAGGCAGGAGCTGGAACCACTGAGCTAAATTCCTGGCCCTAATGGCAGTGATTTGTTTTTTTGTTTTTTTTTCCTTCAATTCTTTTATTGGTACATTTTAGGTATACATTGTGTTTACATTTATCATTGGGTGCTTGTACCTGAACATGATGTATCTTGGTTCTTATTTTTTCCCTTATCTTTTCCCCTGTGCTTATTTACAAAGACTTTGTTTCCATTTTTTCCTTTTCTCATAATTTTTCCTTTCCCTTCTTTCCTTTTCCTTCCCCTCCCACTTCCCCTACCCTTTTGGACCTTTTCTTCCTATTTCAAATTATCAATTATTCATTTTAACCCTT